AACGTCACATAACATTTTGCCACATTACGTCACATAAACGTCACCTAACATAACATTCATATTGTCTGTCATAGCCAAATCCGTGAAGAGAGAATGCAAAGAATGCGCTGTTGACTTCTCATTTTACCATTTCGTCTAATCCAAGTATGCATGATATTTCCTGCCAATCACCAATCACCGTGTCTTACGTTTTTATTACAATAAATTATTGCCATCAGTTACTATGATCAAAACGTCATATCTTTTATTTATTTTTTATTACTCTTGTAATTTATTCCAGAGTACACTTATAAGCAGCTTTACTACGTATTATGATCACGTCACTTAAGCGACAATTCTGTACTCCGCTGTTTCCGGTCCCAAGCGCGGATGAGAAAGGATCAGGGATGGGGGCCATAGTCATCTGTCCCTAATGGTATTGTTGTTCTTTATGGTTACACCTGCTTGGTCGCTTGGGCTGCCAAAGGCCAAGTAGGCTATTGGGGAACTTCAGCAAACTATGAAAAAATTAGTGATCAGAATCTGCTTCGCGGTTTCTGGGAGCTGGGGTCCAGAGTCACAGTCTTGACTGCCTGAGATAGACAAAACGACGATGAAGATGTCAGTGAACAACGGAACAGCAGCACTCGGAACGGCGGAGGTAGAAACATGGTACCATCATAGCACGTGATATAAGGTTGCACGGGAACGATACGAACAGTGAAATCACACAGTTTAGGATTGAGGTATGTCATAAGTTGGAGCGAAAGTGTAGGAAAATGGATGTTGGGGCTGCAAGATATAAACCGGATATACTTGGAGTCTCGCCAACGAACCATCAGGGCAATGGACTTCTGAACCTCAGAACGTCAAAGTTATTGCATTTAAGTGTCTAAACCACAACCTCCTCTCAAGCCTGTGTTTTCGTTCTGGTAGAATCCAATCTTGGTGAGAGATTCACTGAGTGGTAGCCTGGTAGCTAAAGAATGGTAATTCTCCAGCAGAAGTTGCAATGGGCCAAAACGTTCACTATGTTGCAGGTATATGCGCTAAATTCGGAGGGATATCATGAGTCTGTCCCAAAAGAAGTAGAAGGTGTCCTATGCGAAGTGACGACTACGGATTCCGTCATCTTGGTGGGCGAACTCAATGCACATGTGAGAGCAGACACTGACAAGTGGAAGAACGGACCTAGCGACCTCGGCGGTAACGGCATGAGGTTGCTACGGTTTTGTGCAAGCACTCTCCGTTAGCTTAGAGCGCATTCTTCGTGCATCGCAGGGTGCGTAAGTATAGCTTGTGTGAAAAGCTAAGCAGTGAGGTCAACGATCAGTGAGAAAATTGAATGTCTGACTTAAAGACTCTCATCGCCTCATTGTCTGCGTCGTCCACTATAAACGATGGAGTTCGAGGCGAGGACCTGGCGCAGACTCGAATGTTGCAAATTACCTTGTGCGAATAAAACGGCGAAACTTACAAACAACATCGCACGAAGATTTGTAACGGCAGACATGCAAATAGAGTGAAAGTTCCTCAAGAGGGCGATACTCAGGGCCGCAGAGTTTTGTTGTTTAAAAGGGGCTAGTGTGAGAGTCAGACATGAACTTCCGGGTGAACATCAGAGTCAACGAGAATAAGCCTGGATTTAAAATGTGGTTTGGAATGAAAGAGCCTTATCAAAAATACAGTATGAAGAAGAGCACAGAACTGCTGCAAAGCAGTGGTCAAGGCGAAAGCTGATTCCTGGAGATCTTCGGTGAAGTACTGGTTAAACGCTGCACTCTTCGGATAAACGACGAACTAGTAGTGCAGCAGGAAAAACACATCACTCTTTGGGTCGTGTTTAATGGTCATGGTGGGAGGAACAAATCAACTGCCAGCGAATGGGAACCGCCAGCGATGATCTGCCTGAACTAATACAAACCGTTGCGATTGAGGCAGCACTGAGTCTAAATTTTAAGCTGTCTGCATTCAAAGCGTTGCTCACTCAATGCTAACCTATGACCATGGATTGTGTGCCATGAGTGACAACCTCACATCTCGTTTACTGGCGACTGGATGGTCATCTGAGACGAATCGCTGGGCGCAGGCGTCTCGGCATGGTTTGACATGCAAGAAAGCCTTGGAGTACAACCGCTGCTTCGGCAGATGTAAAAGCTCCGGTTGCGGCAGGCTGTGTGGTCCGTCGAGTGCTTCAGTAAAGAAGGCGCAACAGCTTCTACTTGCTCATCCAACCGGCCGAACACCCGGTGTACGGTAAGAAATAGCTGCAGCAAAGGGGGCCTGTACACTAGACTAGGCTTTCTTCCGGCAAAGCTCAACACCGACCCCAGATCGGCAACGTTGGACACGCGGTGTGACGTATGTGACGGCTCGACTCGAATGGATAAACGCTGATCGAAGCCGGCTGACTCCGTGACAATTAAATGCTACTTACTCACAACCTCGTCTCCCTACCTCGTTGACAAGGCACAGCAGATCGTGGCATCAGTCGACTCGACGACGACAACGACGCTGCAAGACTGACAGAGGACAGTCAGATGCGAGCGTGTCGTACGGCGCTACCGCAACCGCAAACACCACCCTCGTCATCGGCAAACACATCAGGCGCCCCTGA